CCCTCCCAACAAAAATATTTCCCCAATCCAGGACAACACTTCCAAATTTCTTGGACTTTGTTTCTCAGGATTACACTAGAAAGCTGGTTTGGTCACATTCATATTAAAGTAACTATCTTGGGAGGGGTATATTATGATGCTGTCAAGTTAGCGATCATCTGTGTAAAAAAATGTGAATCATTTTTAGGCAAGTGTTTAATTTAGACTTAGTCACAACAATGATGTTCAGGATAGCTCAAAACATACTCATAAGACATCAGCCTCTGCCTATTGTGATTACAGCTATCTTCCTTCTCAAGTAGTGTTTTATTTCTGTTGAATTTTGGGTCAACAGCTGTTGACATTAAAACTCCTACCTACATCAATAATGGCCTAAAAGAATTTGACAGGTAAGATGAAAGACAAAATGTCATCTAAATACCACATGGAAGACAGTTAACAGGAGTATCCACTCAATTAAAAAACAGAACATAGTGGTCACCATGTACCCTTTTATTGCACAGATGACAGATCTAAAAAAACAGGCAGAGCTTAATTGCACCATAATGGCCCCCATCTTAATGTCTATGGAGATTCTCAGTCATCCAAGTCATGGCAAGTGCTTTTTCAAGAGGCAACTGGACTGTTTTGTTCAAAAATGGTTCGCTTCTGAACCAAAATGTTCAGAACTGAAGAAGCTCCTTGGATGAGAAGTGAAATGTCTTCAAGCAAATCAAAGAAAATCCAGTTACTTTTTGAAAAAGCATTTTTGGGGGCCCATCTTAAGTTTTTTTGACCTCACTCTGGACACTCCTGCCAACTGATAGCATGACTACGTATTATTTCAAGATATGATGAGGCATCCTCTTTGACTGTGTCCAAGAGAGGAGACTTATTTTTGGGAAGGATAGCAAATCATGTGAAAAACATAACTTGATTCTCCTCAAGTGACATTTGTTCTCTTCAGCATTTAGAAAGATAAAAAATATCTCTCTTCTGACAGGGCATTATTAGATATTTTAATATTTCTTTTACCATCCAGTAAAATATTTTAAATAAATGGTTGTTCTTTAAGTTTTAGCTATCAGGAGTACTTGTCAGAATAAAAAAAAGTGGGGTAGAAACTTATAGTCACAAACCAAACCAACATAATCTGCTTGAAGTGGCCAGTTAGCAGTGTATAGTAATCAACTAGATCAGCAGGTGACCGCACTGAGATGGTTTTGACTCAGACCTAGCTACAGGGATGGGAGACCACGAGAAAATCCCCCAGGAAATAGATTTGATCAGCAAATTGGAAATAACCCCATCCTCATTTCCATACTGTTACCATGAAGACTAAACAGAGAAATCAAAATCAGAGGGACTGAGTCAGAGTCCTTCATCTTTTAATAGTTGGGATTTATTCACCATATTTATTCACCATATTCCCATGGTGACCTGTTTTATAATCATAACTATGAGGCTCAATTATTAGTCCCCACTGTTTTGTAAAAATTATTAATAGTGTGGAATCATTTTTAACATCAATTATATAGGCAAGAGATGATGTTCCGGGAATATAGGTAGTCCTTGACTTATGACCACAATTGAGGCCAAAACTTGTTAAGTGAGACATTTGTTAAGTGAATTTTGCCTCATTTTTATGACCTTTCTTGCCACAGTTAAGTGGATCACTGCACTTGATAAGTTAGTAATCCAGTTGTTAAGTGAATCTGGCTTCCCCATTTACTTTGCTTGTCAGAAGTTCGTAAAAGCTGATCACATGAACCCCAAAACAATGCAACTACTATAAATATGAACCAATTGCCAAGCATCTGAATTTTGATCACATGGTCTTGGGAATGCTGCAAAAGTTGTACCTAACTGTGAAAAACGGTCATAAGTCACATTTTTCAGTGCTGTTGTAACTTTGAATGGTCATTAAATGAACTGTTGTAAGTCGAGGAGTACCTGTAATGTGTAGATGTCAAACCATCTAGAAAGCTCAACCAAGAAAATTAGAAGGAACCAAAACTTGAGTCTGTTTACCTTTGTTTATGCACTTTGCTAAACACACATATACTGCCAAAAACAGATTTAAAAAGGGAGAAGTTATATGGGTTCACATGAAACAAAATCCCACAAAACAGAAAAGTTATTCTTAGGGCCCCAGATTTTTATTTTCACTTTTTAATGTTAGTTATACAATTAACTTTTAAGAGGGAGGACTCTCCATTGCTGTGATGCATCTTTCTGCTGCCTTCTCTATGTGGATTACCTATTAATTTAGAGGTTCTCAAAGTGGGGCCATGGATGACTCATAGCAGCATCCCAAATTCACCAGCCAGAGCTGATATTGTGTCCACTTTCCAACACGGCCCCTGCCTCAACCTGTAATTAAAGCCTTAATTCTGGATTACATCCTTGGTAAGATATTCATTTTTAAAAACTTTTTTTAAATGGGGATGTGAAAGTTTATACAACTGCACCTACTACCACTATTTTATTCACTAACAATGTTTACTTCCATGCTCTCAGACGGGGGTGTTAAGTTGAATTGTGGGATCCCCACAATTTCTAAATAGTATTCTACAACTGCAGCAATTGGGGCGAACACTGTGATAGCACTGATGAAGATGAAGCTGCTGAATCTTTGAACAGAGGCAAAGCGGATTGTTTCATTGTTGACAATCCTGTTCCTTTTGATTTACTTAATTTACTGCTGGAGATCTAACTGGTTCCTTTCATTTTATGCAAGCAGCCTTGAGGAAGTGAGACAACTTCTCTCAATGCTTCTGTTCAAACATCCCCTTTGATGAGCAAGATTTAGACCTGAAATAGCTATTTTTACTTTGTGCTTTCCAAGCTACACTTCCCCTGCTTATAAAAGTTTCCAGTGCCAAGTCATAGCTCAGGCTCAGCCCAACCTTTAACTCACCGTCTCCCTCTAGTGACCTATATTGTAAATACAGTAGAGTATAGGAATGTCTGCCTCTGAGGAACTTTTCTCGGCTCATAAAATGGGGGTGTGGCAGATATGACACATTATTTCTATTCCCATCATGACTGGAGAGTTGAAGGCTAAGAGTCAATAAAACAATAATTCCACCCAATCCTGTGATTCATCTAGGAGAAGTCAAGATATATCCCAAAGCATATAGTCTCTCCCGTAGAACCTTAAAGTCTACATTTTATATTTTGCTTCATTCAACTGATTAGTGGCTTCCAGCAAGTTATTTTTTCTCACTTCCTTTCTAACAGAGGTAGTGATAATTACCAACCTTCCCTGAACTTCATGGTTTTCCTAAAGTAAGAATTACCATAATAATATATACAAGAAGGGTTTCCTCCTCAAAAATTGCTAGAAATCTGAAATCTCTTATGGAAACTTGGTTTTCCCGAATTTGTTTTGTTTCATAATGCCACTGGGAAGTTACAACCAGTTGCTACAAATCCGAGAGTTCATTGTTCGTAGTTCAAAGAATTACATGATTTTCAACCTTCACTGACACAGCCCAGTAACTTTTTTGAATTCTGAAGGACTTTTGAGCTTGCAACGTATTATTTAGATGCACATGGCAGTTGATATTAATGAGGGTCTGAATGGACTCTGTTTCAAGGCAAATAACACAGCCCTGAAAGAGCTAAAAGTGATACCTACAGTCTGTAATGGTAGAGAGACCACCAGTTACGCTGGGCTTGATTACAGGCACATAGCATATAGTGTTTTTCTTCACAATAATATAGAATTGGCTTGCCAATGTCTTCTTCCAGGACGGCTTTCAATGACCCAGTTTTATCTACAGTCCTAGGGTTTCCTAACTGTCTTCCCATCCAAGATCTAATCCGACTGAGCATCTTCAAAATCAAGGCAAACCATGTACACACACACACACCCCTTGAATTTATTCTACTTCATCTTAAGCATTCTTTTGCACCAGCTTGTATCATTTAAAAGCCTGTCACCCAAAGTGGTGGGGTCTCAGTAAGGTAGTGTTGTGATGTGGCGGCAGGGTTAGAGACAAGGACAATCAGGGTTTTTCTCAGAGAATGAGCTGAGCAACCAAGCACAGGAGATACCTTTACTTCCTTCCAATCATCTTAAGGCTTTCAAGTTTAACACCTAACTGCACTATTAGATAACTACTTCCCCAGTCTCTCCTCTGATGGGCTGTGACCCGAAATGGATTATTTCAGTGGTACCATACCCCCACCCCCACCCCAGTATTTGAGTTATTTTCAAGCCTCCTTCCCCCAAATTACAGTTCCTGGAACTTAACTATCCGAATATATCTGAAAAGCACCCTATCTGGAAAGCACCCGGTTGGGAAAAGTTGTCTTAAGAGAACAAAATGGCAGTGAGAAAGCAGGCTGAAGTACTATAGGAAGTAATAAAGGAACAAAAAAAAAAAAAAACCCCAACCTAGAAGGGTTGGCACTTAAGCTGTAACGCAGACTAAAAACGACTTACTTTTTCCTCAACTGCAAGCCATCCCGATTTCCCCCCCCACGGGCCAACAAAAAAAAAAAAGGGGGGGGGGGGAGCAAAGGTGCAGTTATCCAGAGTAGGCTGGATAGTTAGTTCTCCTTCCAGTGAAACCCACACTTATACGAACACCCCAAACGCCGCAGCCATTCGACCTGGCTCGCAAGTTACACTTTGTGTTTCTCTCTCTCCCCCGTCCCCTCCCGCGTCCGGGACGCGAGATAACCGCGGCTCCTTCCAAGAATGGAACGCTGCTAAACCTGCCGGCTCGGCGCGCCGTCCAGTCCGGAGCAAAGCGCCCCCGAGCCTTCGCCCCGAAGTCCGGCGAGCCTCGCAGAGGTCACGCCACGGCCAGACCCCGAGAAACAACACAAAGAAGCGCGTTAAGAGACTCACCCAGCAAAGAGCTTAAAGAAGAAGTCGGGCACTTCACGCGCAAAGCCGGCAACAAGGGGGATGGAGCAGGCGAGATCCTGGAAGGAGGGAGGGAGGGAAGGAAGGAAGGAAGGAGGGGCAACTGTTTCACTGCCTGCCTGCCTGCCTGACTTCTCACCTGCGGCCGACCTCAGGCGAGGCGGTGGGGAACTCCGCCGCCTTCGGCACAGGTGTAAGCGTGCTCCGGCTTGCTGGGTCCTAGCGCCCTAACGTCACCCACGAGGAGCCTAAAACCTCGCTTTATCTTGAGGCGGGAATCTCACCCAGCCTCCATTGTGCGGGTTTGAGCGTTCAAGAAATAAACGGACGGATCAAGCGGCGGGAGGTAGAAGAAGGGTGGGCTGCTGAGGGTTGTTTGCTTTAAAAACCACCCCAACCGCATGCTTTTTTTTTTCTGCCTCCAAAGGAAGTTACACAGTTGTGAGGGCTTGGTTCACAAACAGCCATGGTGTCTGGGGCAAAAAGTACATGCTCAATGTTTTTGGCCGCGCACACACATTTCTTAGGACGTAAACTTTACTCGGAAGATAATCTCATGCGGTTCGGCTACAGAGGTTCCAAGTTGCCGTTATATTCATGACTCAACCTGTAGATTAACATCTGAGCAACTGCACACTGAGGACAGTTTTTTAAATCAGTTCTCCGGCGACCTGCTGAATTACTGCCTGTCAGGAAAACGTGGAGGTCTTTAAAGACCAAATAGAAAGGATTTGCACAACATGCTAACTTGCACCAAATGTACTGCAGTGGGGCTTGGCATGAGGGAGTTGTGAACTAGGGTTTTCCGACCTAGTCTGGCTTATTCAACAAACCACATCAATTTAAATCATAATACAATGTCCCTATCAAGACAACCTTAGATAATTAGTGCCTTGTAGAGTAGGTGGAGGTCAGTTTCCAGAATCTGCAGCTCCCATTGCCTAAGGTTGCTGGGAATTTATTTTATTTGGTAAAATTTTATTTCATCTTTATTACTTTATAAGTACAAGTAGTCCCTTAAGTTAAAATCATTCATTTAGTGACCAGTCAAAGTTATAACAGCACTGAAAAAGTGACTTATGACTGGTTTTCACACTTACAGCCCTCACAGCATCTGCATGATCATGTGATTGAAACTCAGGCTCTTGGCAACTTGGCATGTATTTATGACAGTTGCATGATCCCAGGGTCATGTGATGACCTCATGATTCACTTAACTGCAGTGATTTGAAAATGGGGCAAACACCCCACTTAACTTCCTTGCTTAGGAGTGGAAATTTTGGGCTTAATTGTGGTTATAAGTCAAGGAGTACCTGTAACTCAAGGAGACAAACATACCTAATATTCCTCCTGTTTTTCTTACAACAACCCTGTGAGGTGAACTGAGCTGTGAGAGAGTAATCTAGCTGGCTTTCATACCTAAAGCGGGACTAGCACTCATGGTCACTCAGTTTTTAACCCTAACCCTAACCCCAACTACTAAACTAAACTGGCTAGCCCCAGTTCTGTTAAAAATTGGTTTCTTTCTCATGTTTCAGATTAGGAATGTAGCAAACTTCAACCATTTCTCTCCTTCCAGCATCCATCTTTAAAGATTCATTTGTTGTGATGCATTGCCCAGAATTGCTTAATATAGGCAGCCATATACATTTTTAAAATAAATGGTCGGATGTAAGCAATACATTCGTGTTTACTTAGCTTAAAAGGTAAGTAAGTACATTGAGAATATATTCCCTATCTTAGGTCAGTGTTGTAAGCATTTGATCAAGGCCCTAGTAGGCAATAAGATTACCCAGCAGTTAATATTCTTTCTAGATAATAATTTGGAAGTCAGTAAAATTTTTGGAAGAAGGAAATAATATTCTTATTGGAAGCCTCTATCATAAAATGATAACAGCAGATGGGCTGCCATTTCTATCTCTCCTGTATTAGGTGAGTATAATTATAAGTGCTCTAAATCTGCCCTCAAGAAGCCCTTCTCCAGTACATTCATGTAGTGAAAAGCAATGAGTAAATAATGTTTAAAACCCAGTTTAACTCAAAGACACCGCATGCAAGCTGAGTCCTTGAAGAAAAATAGACAAAAGCAAGGTGGATCGATAAAGGAAATAGTGGGAGGCCACTTCTATGTCAAACTGAATTGTTGAAAACAGTTTGAGCCAATCAGTACTTTCTTCCAACTGGCCAATGGGAGTGTGGTATTTCATTGGGAATCCACTCCCCTCCATATTCTGAATGTTGCAAACTCTGCATTTGCCCAGTCATTCCTTCAAAACCCCAAACAGGAGGGTCAGAGCGAAACCACTCAGGTAGTATTCCTCTGCTCCATTATCATTGACTGTGAAAATGATTCAGCAACCACGATGCTCTGATGGCTTAATTTCTATAAGAAAGTAAGTAAAGAGCACTTGGCTTGAGACCAGATGCTGAGGGAGGAATGATTATTTTCAGAGGGAAAACTATGCAGACAGTTGTATAATGTTTCTTCTGATGGGGCAGGCAGTTTTCCTTCACTGGGAGCACTCACCTCATCCTTTTTGGTGGGATTTTCTCCCTTCTATGGTCAAAAGCCCACTCCAAGAGATGATGAAGCAGAGAAGTGAGATGCTTTTAGGGCAGCCTATAATTGGTGCCAGAGATTTAAAGGAGAAGGCTGGTGGCTGCATAGAAATGCTCCACGTGAAATAAACAATGACATAATTTATACATAAGATGGTTTAATGTATACAGTAAGAAATGGCAAGTTATAAAAAAGGATTCGCTTAAAAGTGTTTCTTTTCCTTTGGTTGCTTCTTCCCAGCTGATGCTATTCTTTAATTAGCTTTCTGGAAGTTCTACTCTAAATTTGGAATATAAAGGAAATAAACACTAGGGAATGAGGTGTGTTCTCATTTAGCATATTTGAGGTTGTTGAGAGACAAATATGAACAATATTTCCTGACTCATCTTATTTTTGGTAGTTGCTGAGTTGCCCTTAGAAGATGTATTTCCATGATTACTGGATAATGACATTAAGTTTATAATAAATTGAGTCTATGGACCCCTTTCCTGATCCATACAGGTTTTTCTCTCACTCTTCTCTATATGCCTTGATTGAACAAAGATATCTTCAACTAGCCATAGTTTCAGAGCTAGGACATTATGATGATCAAATTTGGAATAAATCATTTTCTTAAACCATTCTTCAAATGATCTGAAGATTCTGTCTTATTTTCTGATCATCTTTGTTTAATGGGTCAGATAATAACAGGAAATATTAATAACTTCTAAATTAATTTTAATGCTTGCATGTCTCTGATGGCATGTTAGAGCTGGATGAGATTTTAATTACTGAATTAGAAGTACTGCAACTTGCTCTTTGCTTATTAATTATTTGAAGTTGGGAGAGCCTAACACAGAAGCCAGTTATTCTAATAACCTAGAGTCCCCTTCCTTGGCATCCAGCAAGCTTCCTGCCTCTGCTAATCTTTTTAATTTTTAGATTGATTTGATTTTATAGCCTAAACAGGATATTGGCTCCGGTAAAGTAGAATATCAACCTCTTGGGTTATCTTTCTTTTTACAAATGCCTCTGGACTCTATGTTGACTTCAGTGGCACACTCAGTAACTAGGAACAGGGAAGGGGCTGCAATCCAATATTTTATCTGGAAACATTTCCACCACACTAGGAAAAAATGCAGGCAGTCTAGGATGGAAGCGACCAACCTGAGGGCTAGAAAAGGTTGTGGGAAGCAACTATACTAATTTGCTTTGAGAGGCTGGTACACATACACAGAAACACACATATACATACATGCCCATATATACAGTATATACACGTACAGATACATGTGTAGGTGTGTGTATGCGTGTGTGTGTGTAAAGATAGTATTTTCTTTTTTGAATTTGTATGGGCTCCTGGTTTGAAAGAGGGGTCAAAGAGGCTATCTATGTCAAAACTGAACAGCCCTCTCTCACCAGAGGGAGAGGGATATGACATGGTCTGTCTCCAGTCTACAACACAGTCTTTTCAGCAGTTCCAAAAAGGCTTCACACCCATTTGCACTACTCAGGTGACCCTGTGGACACAGATAAACCTCCAGGTAGCCTCAATGACTCTCTAAAAAGAATGCAAACGACCAGCTGTGTGCAAGGAGTATAAATCCTTCCATTCCCCACCATTCAGTCAGAGCTGAAGAAGCTTCTTGGATGAGAAGTGAAACATCTTCAAAAGAAAAACCACTTGCCTCTTGAAAAAAAATCACCTTTGGGACAACGTAACCTGGATGTCTGAGAATCTCCATAGATAGGGGCCCAGAATTAGAAGTACTAATAGGTTCCAGGTTTAATGTTTAATGTTCTTATATAAGAAAGGTAAGTTTTATCTATTATAATTATTAACCAAACAAAATTTAATTCAGGTGCAACAATCCAAATTATCTGCACTTCCTATTCTAATCATTTTATGTACAAATTACAAAGGCAGTACTAATATTATGATGGAGGTGTTCCAAAGTCATGAACACTTGAGAAGAAAAGTTTCAAGTGTTGGGCTTTAGGCAGTTTCCTTCTGTTGCCAGTGTGCTAATGTTAGAGGTTGACTGGCTGTACCCCTGAAGTAATGTAGATGCAGATATGAAAAAGTTATTTAATTGATATACAATGACAGCAGTATCACAGAATCTTTGGTGCATTCCAGTACTTAAAGATTTTTTATTTTTCTTCCCTACATAATTCGTCATAACTCTTAGAAATAACTGTTGCAATAAAATTCATCCATGTTATTGCCATAAAGTCATGCAAATAGATTCGAGTTTTTCTGAATCAAGGCCCTACTGACATTTCAGATTGAAAGCTCCAGTTCTGTTTTCCAACACATTTGCAAAATATTCCTTAAGGTTATCATCAAAGACAAATGTGATCAGACTTTGAAAGTAGCTGAACAGTCATAAAGAAAAAAGTTTGAGCCACATCATGATTTGATTTCTGCAAAGAATTCATTCCCACGTAATTGAAAGCATTTAGATTACAACAAAACCTCAAAATCCAAAAATTGGTTTATATTGCTACAAATTTCTAGCTTAGTACGTTAATCACTTCACCAAACTGGTTCTTGGTAACTTACTCTATTACTGTTCTTATCATCTGGAATTATCTCTCCTTTAGAGATTTGAGTCCGTCTTCAGGAAAATATTGACACCTTGGTTGTTTTCCCAAGCTTTTTGTTTTGCCTTTTTTCTCCTTTTGGTCTAATTTGTTGTTTTGGAATTTGTATTTTGGCCTTCTGATCTGTTATACTCATTTTAAATGTTGGG